TCTCCTGGTCACAAACCATGAGCTCCTCAAGTGTAGAAATGGAGTCCTCTCTAGCCCCTAAAGAAATGTCATTTTGTTTTCTATAGCAGGAATCTTTGAACTAGTTTATGTTGGTCACAGAGCTTTAGTACATTGGGGCTTTGAGAAAATGACTTGCTGGTTGATTTTTCAGCTGAGTGGTCGATTCAGCAAATTGGAGCAGATCTCTGCTTTTTCCCTCTGCCACTGCTACTCTTCCTTTCATTCTTGATTTGGGTAGTTGGGTTTTTTTGGTTTCTCTACTCTGCCACTGTCTATTGCTTCCCTATTGTTTTAGCTACTCCAGCATTTTACCGCTCCCTTTATTGGCTTATTTTCCAAAGAATTCACCATCTCCAAAAACTTCCTTCAAGACAATGCAAAACTTTTATAAGGCTTCTCAAGCCCTGCCAGCTTGGTAGAAGCAGCCATCAAGAAACCCAGGCAGCAGGCAGAGGCTCTGCTGGTAGAATGACCCAGTTTTCCTGACAGCAAGTGTCTGAGGAGCTGGGCCCTGGTCCTGTTAGACTCCTGATTTCTTGGGTGAACTTGAATGTACTTACAAAATTGCTTACCCTAATAAAATATTTAAGTATATAACCTGTATATATTATCTAAACTTTGTCCAATTTTTTTAAATAGTCCATTTTGTCTTCCATATAAATGATCTATTAAAATACATATAATCTAGAGAGTATATCTACTTAAAGACATACTACTTGTGTTTAAGAGCCATGACCATTGAAAAACAGGAAAACCAAATTTTAGTGAAATTTCCATATATTGGGGACCCTCTAATTATCTTTGTGAGATAAATTTGCTGTTTATCTTTGCAATATTCATTGGGGGGGGGGAAGATATTTACCAAACAAATTACTATTGCTTAAGGTTTTAACTCCTTTTAGGGAATAAATTTCTTAAAATTTGTCTTTTTCTCCATATATAGTTTGGTTACCTATTAATTATCCATCAGTTTGGTCTCCTGAAACATTCTTATCCTTTTTGTTAGTCTTATTTGTCCAATCCTTGTTCCCTCTCTTCATGCTAGATAATAAAGTTGAATTTCTTTTGAAACCTATTTTTTTCATTTTGCCCTTCAGACTTGTTACAAGTCTCTTCCTCTTACACTCACCTGTAGAGTCTAAGTGCGGAAGATTTAGTTTACTGGGAGGACAGTTACTTAACTGAAAGTTCAGTAGACGGAGTTAAAAGTGGCTTCTCTAACAGGACTTAAAATGACTTTGGATGTTCATCATAAGCAGTGTGTAAGCCTTGCAGTTATTTCTGTGCTCAACCATCAGTACTTCTTCTCCCCCACTGTAGTCTGCTATGTCAAAAAATTGCATCAAGCTTTTGTGTGAAGATCCCGTTTTTGCAGAATATATAAAATGTATCCTAATGGATGAAAGAACTTTTCTGAACAACAACATTGTGTACACATTCATGACACATTTTCTTCTAAAGGTATGTCCTACTTTGGAAACTCAATGTGTTACTTCCAATGTGTTAATGGTTATGTTTTCCTCATGTTGGTCTTTTGGAGATTTTTTTAAATCTTTTTTTTTTCCAGGTTCAAGGTCAAGTGTTTTCTGAAGCAAACTGTGCCAATTTGATCAGCACCCTAATTACAAACTTGATAAATCAGTATCAGAACCTGCAATCTGATTTCACCAACCGAGTTGAAATTTCCAAAGCAAGTGCTTCTTTAAATGGGGTAAGAATTGAGGTGCCTGGCTGGCTCAGTCAGAGGAGAGTGTGACTCTTGATCTTGGCGTTGTTTCAGCCACATGTTGGGTGTAGAATTGTTTAAAAATGAAATCTTAAAAAAATAAATGACGTAAGAACTGTGGGAGGGAATAGTCCTGTACTTCAGTACTTTCCTTAACTCCAAATTTGGCTTTAGTATGATTTTTACTGTAACTTATTCAAACTCTGAAAATCACATAAGATGAAAAACCAAATTCTTTAAAAATATGTGTGCTCTATGCCTTTGAAGTATGTAGTACACACTTTTGTATTACCTTGGAAGACATGAACAAATGTCATTAAATGCTAAGGGCAATAAGATCACCAAGAGGGAGACATTGCCTTTATCTCTACTTGTTTACACTTTTTGAAAACATTACTTGTGATGTTCCTATCACAGCTTATGGTTCATAAGTAACTGAAACAATCAGATTAATGATCTACTGATTATAAAGCCAGTTAAAACAAGGGAATCCGTTGCCTTAAATAGATATCCATGATGGCTGGGTCATACAATAATGGAATGCTAGCACCTGTCCAGCATTTTACTGCTTCCCCAATAACCACTTGTTGCTTAGATGTCAGAATAGATTACAGAGCTGAGCAAGAATGACCTTACTATGTGACTTGCACCAGAAATCAGCATATTTGAGGAACTATGATATCTAGATTGAGGCCTTAATTTCGCATGGATAATTCAGGGCTTATTTTTTAAATCCCTATCTTTTTTTGCCTTTTTCATTTTCAGAAAACTATGTGAGTCTTCAGTCTGACCTAATTAGTGGCATGATACATAAAATAATGGTATTAATGACTTAGAACCAATAAAATACAGTAATATCCTAATCCTGGCTCTCTAGTTTTAGCATTCTCTAAAAATGCCAGAGAAACCAGAATGGATTCCTGGGAAAGTAAACAACTGTGTCAAAATGTTAGCTTTAGAATTTTAAATGTTCCTATCTGGGTTTTATAGGATCTGCGGGCACTTGCTTTGCTCCTGTCAGTACACACTCCCAAGCAATTAAACCCAGCTCTAATTCCAACTCTGCAAGAGCTTTTAAGCAAATGTAGGACTTGTCTGCAGCAGAGAAACTCACTCCAAGAGCAAGAAGCCAAAGAAAGAAAAACTAAAGGTTAGCTTTCTGGACTAATACTAATTACCTTTAGGGTGGGAGAGGGGAAGAATACACTTGGTATCACTGACTTTACAATAGCTGTCTGTTCAGTTGGGTCTCCTACATATAATGCTAAAAAGAAAATCTCCTGCAAACACCCCCAGTGTGATCTTAATGACTCCTTTCAGAGAATGATGTTCATTTTCACAGATGATGAAGGGGCAACTCCTGTTAAAAGAAGGCGTGTTAGCAGTGATGAGGAGCACACTGTAGACAGCTGTATCAGCGACTTGAAAACAGAAACCAGGGAGGTCCTAACCCCAACTAGCACTTCAGACAATGAGACAAGAGACTCCTCAATCATTGATCCAGGAACTGAACAAGATCTTCCTTCCCCTGAAAATAGTTCTGTTAAAGAATATCGAATGGAAGTTCCATCTTCGTTTTCAGAAGACATGTCAAATATCAGGTCACAACATGCAGAAGAACAGGCCAGTGATGGTAGGTTTGAAGACTGTAAAGAATTTAAGGACCTCCACTGTTCCAAGGATTCTAACCTAGCTGAGGAAGAATCCGAGTTCCCTTCTACTTCTATCTCTGCAGTTCTCTCTGACTTAGCTGACTTGAGAAGCTGTGATGGTCAAGCTTTGCCCTCCCAGGACCCTGAGGCTGCTTTATCACTCAGTTGTGGCCATTCCAGAGGACTCTTTAGTCACATGCAGCAACACGACATTTTAGATACTCTGTGTAGGACCATTGAATCTACGATCCATGTGGTCACAAGGATATCTGGCAAAGGAAACCAAGCTGCTTCTTGACATTAGATGTAGCATGTCTACTTTTAAGGTCCCCTCTCCCCCCAATGCTGTTTGTATAAGTTTTGCTTATTTCTGTTTTTGTGCTTCAGTTTGTCCAGTGCTCTCTGCTTGAATGGCAAGATAGATTTATAGGCTTAATTCTTGGTCAGGCAGAACTCCAGATGAAAAAATTTGCATCTTCAGTATACTTTCTAAAGGGCAATCAGATAATGGATATGTTTTATGTAATTAAGAGTTCACTGTAGTGGCTTTCATTTCATATGGCTGTCTGGGAGGAACAGGGTTCCCTGGCCCTGTACAATGTAATTTAAACTTACAGCATTTTTACTGTGTATAATATGGTGTCCTCTGTGCCAGTTTTGTACCTTATGATAGAGGCAGATCGCCTCCGATCGCTGTGGTTCTTATTATCAAAATTAAGTTTACTTGTATACGGAACAACCACAAGAAATTTGATTCTGTAAAGAATCCTCTTTAGCTGTGGCCTGGCAGTATATAAATGGTGCTTTATTTAACAGAATACCTGTGGAGGAAATAAAGCACACTTGATGTAAAATTAATTGTTTTATTTTTATTGACATGACTGATTGATTGCTATTCTGTGCACTTAATTAAACGGATTGTGATGACTTTTCATTTGTTTACATTTAACATTGCTTTAGTCTTCTCAGATGAAAGTAATGAGAAAACTGTGAATAGGAGGGAAGCACTTCTCCATTATATTCTCTTTCATCATAGTAGTGGCGGCCCGAAAAGTCACTTACCCCAGAGCCTTTCAGGCCTCTGCCCGGAGTGCAAATCTGCAAGGAGCAGCCACGTGACGTGGCCCAGTGCACCTCACATCAACATGCTTCTGAACGCAACACGCTGCTGCTTTGCTACCTAAGAGTTGCAGACCTTAAAAACCCTGAAGTAAGATAAAGGAATAGTATGGACATGCCATTTATTTTTTGTCTGCCTGAACTAAAAATACAGCTGAAAGTAGCTTGCTAGGACAAGCTTTAGTGGGAAACGGCAACCATCTGTCCTCAGAGGCTCAGTCTCTTCCCAGAGGAGCAGCTATGGGAGGTAAGGTTAATACTGACTTTCCAGGTTGCTTGCTACTTGTAACCCAATGACTGACAGTCTAGTAGTAAAGAAAGATTCAAACAGTGCTTTGAATTCTGTATAAGCTCATGGATTTCACCCAGTATAAATTAAGAGTGTTTTCTTTTTTAAAAGGAGTAATGGGGAAGAGGTAAACTTGACACTTTTCCTGCTTACAAAAAGTAATACCCTATAAAAAATCTTCTAATTCAACCATTTAGGGTTGGGTCAGCTGCAGTAAACCTTTTATTTCTTCAAAATGCTGCTTCTGCCAACAGAATTTCATGCTCTCTTCTTTACAGACAGGAACTCCTGTACCGTCTAACTGCAATTCAGTTTGCCCTGGAGTAGGCACAAAACTCAGTGCAACTGTTGCATAGCGTTCTGGAAAGAAAATAAGAAGCTTATTACTACATTATGAAAAGGAAAACTGTCCATACAGTGCTACTCCTTTTTTTTTTAATAGCGTGTCGGGGGCTGGGGTATGGGGGCAAGCTTGAGTGTTTCTAGACCCCTACAACAAAGAATACTAGTAACACCTTCTGGACAGTTCCTATATCTCCATTTCATGATGATCTTTTTGTCAACTAAAAACAAGGGAAATCCCCTTAAGACAGCTTTTAAAACTTCCAGCAATACAGGAAATCCCTGAGCACTAAAAGTACTGAACGAACAATGGTACAGTCCCATCTTCCAGGTTATACAGCAGGGCCACTGAAAATCCACTGTTCCTGCATGCCAAAACGTCCTTAACAGCACCAACCTCAAGGACAGAAGTGCAATGACATTGGTAACCCAAACAGAACTGATGTTGGGGCTGAGGCAACACAGACCCTAGTGATTTATGCTTTAGGTGGCTGAAATGTGAAACTTGTAGAGCAGGAGTTAAGAATTCTACTTCCTTCTAAAACCATAAGCATTAGCACAATTACCGTGCAAACTCAGTCTTCATCATTACTTAGTATGTGTAACATTTTTTATTTGTTCTACAACCAAGTATACATAATAATAATCTCAAAACCAACTTTATAATGTTCTCCAGTTTCTGTGAGCCCAGATAAAAAACCAAAGCAAATTAAAAAGAGCATGGATTTTAAAAAGCAATACTGGGGCACCTGGCTGGCTCAGTGGGAAGAGCATGCGACTCCTGATTTTGAGGTCATGAGTTCAAGCCCTATGCTGGCTGTAGAGATTACTAAAATAAAAATAAAGCAGTATTAACAGAAGAGTTAGTCCCAGCTTACTTTTTAACCCTAAAGATCACTTACCAATTCTGTATATTCACCGGTGATGTTCCCATCAAACATTAGGAATTTCCCTCCCTTTTCAGCTTCTAATACAGCAGGAGATTTAGAAAATTTTTGCACCAACTAACCAAGCAAAACATATAGCAGACATGTTAGTCCAGCGTGCCCTATCACCTTTTAACCTAAATGCAAAGTATTAACAATTAAGGTAGGTGGGTTTTTTTTTTTCCCTTTTCCTAATTCTGAATCTGTAGCTTTTACATAGAGCTTTCTCTCCTCTCCCTCAGAGAGAGAAAACTCGGTAATGTATCTCCTAAATGTGGATCTGTTTCCCCATACTGCCCATCTTTTAACCCCTTGAATTTTTTTAGAAGTTATCCTAAAGACTTCTATCACCACCATTCTAGATCACTTCAACTGTAAGAAAATGGCCATATGGGAAATGAAAAACCAGCTCCAGTTCTTAGTGGCACATTGTCTCCCACTGTTAGCACTGAAGATCCTAGCTTGGGAAGTTACTTACATCTTTCACAGTGAAGACGCTGTACAGTTGCTCTGTAGTGGCGTCGAAGAGTTCCGTCATGTACAGTGCCACAGTGGGGATCTTTCCCCCACCCCACTGAAGATGAAGCCTGGATCTCAAAAAGAGAAGAGGTTCCAAAGCATAACTAACTAGCATGCCAGGGTTCAAGCTACTTAGGTTTTAAAATTCAGTCTTCCACTCTTAATAAAATAACAAGATGTCCCCAAATTTCACACTACCCTTTTCCAGACACATGGAAATAGCACAAAAAACCTTTTAACACCACCAATCCTGGTTACTGTGAAACAGCTCATTGTTCCTATGAGCTCTTGGACTTTGTTCCACTCCCAGGCCATTGCTTAACACCCCAAATCCTCCTTGGACATGTACATAATGGCCCAGAGGCATAAAGATGAAGGACAATAAAGGCCAAAGGGTGTCAATTCCCCAACACCAGATGCCAAGGATGGGACCTAAAACTACCCAATCTGAAAGTCTGGAGAGGTTTTTCCATTGTGGTAGGTGAACCTCAAAGTTGCCTGGTTTTATAATCTGTTGCCTACCAAAGAACCCACCTTTGGAACATGGTCTTGAACTAAATTCAATATTTATCCCACAAGAAGGCCTGTTTATATATTCCTTTCCATCAACAAGGATAGAAGTCTCAATTTATCATTTCCCCTCAAAATGGCAAGGGATGCAAAGATCGATGAACTGGCCCACCTAACTAACCTTTACAGTTCATCATTTAGGGCTTTGAAGCATCCTCATTAAGCACTTCCTTTTCCCTCCCTACATACTGGCCCCAGAGGACATACCTGCAAGGTGTTCTCACTCAGTTTCCTTTCAGCTGTCGGTTCCTGGCTTGCCATGGCTTTCGTTGGTAAAATCATTTCCATTGTAAATTCTAAAAAGAAACATACAGGAAGTGGTTTAAAAAAAAAAATTCTTTGAGCACCACCAGTAAGGCAGAAAATCCAAAAAGCTTATAAGAAAATAAGAGAATGGATATTTATAAAGAATTCCTTTATCATTGAGAATTTCAAGGCCATATCATGTTTTTACGTATAAAATTAATTTATGAACATGAGTTCTATAGCAACAAATGCCTTTTCTTTTTTCAAATGCCTCACTTTTAGTTCTTGATAAAAGACTGGTATTTTCAAATTGTTTTCCAAAAAGCTCAATTTTATAAAACAACTACTAGCTTTATGACCTTCACCTACTGTCAAATCCAGACACTTAATTGCTTCACCACCACCTCACAAAGCTTGGCCTTCCAGTATTCAAGCCTGTGGGCCAGCCGACACCTAGATACTCCAGTAACAGAGTCCAAGGATGAGGTGCAGACATTCAGGCCCCACTGGTCATTTTGCTTGGCAGGTGACTAAGGGAAGAAGACAATAACCTCACTTCTACACAGTGTAGATATGATCTAGGTAAATCTCAACTCTTTCCGCGATATCTTTCATTCCTTCACTCATTCATTCAACAAAGATTTATTCCTAAGCACCTACTATGTGCCAGGCATTGTGCCAGAAGCTGGAGCTACAGCAGTGAACAAGACACACACCTTCCATGCCCCCTTAGAGCTTACATTCTAGGAGCGAAGATAAACCTCGAACAAGTAAATTATACAAACAACTGAATAAATTATCATTCCAGAAAACTCTTAGTAATTCCATAGGCAAAATAGTTCGCGATGTGTACAATACCAATAGTCACTAATTGTGGTCTTACTCATGACTAGCTCTCAACCTCCAGACTACAGTTTATCCTGCAGCATAAAGAGCTGTTTCTGAAGCCTTAACAGACATCACCCTAACCTGGGAATCCAGACCACAGGACAGAGCATAACTTGGGTAAATAGAAAAGGGACCCTCTGGTTCACAAGGGTTGCCTTCTTTACCCGTCTTAAGTGCCTTCAGGTAATCTCCAAGGGCCTCCCCTGACCCTGGCGGTGCCTGCAGTTTTTATAAGATCCTTCAGTATATCCACATCTCCTTTCTTTTTACTCACATTGACCTACGAATCAGAAAAATACAAACCTAAGAAAATCTGGTTTGATGTACTCTCACAACATCAGGACACATGGCTGGGAGAAGCGCTGTGATGCTGGGGGAGGGGGAAGAAGTGGATATAAGAGATACGCCAGGTTTCTTCACAGACTTTGAGAAGCTGTGAGGGTTTTTTAATCAAAGGTCCATTGACTGGGTTGGTAGCCAAATCTGGAGTGGACTTCTTAGAAATGTGAACCCCTTAATTTGCATATAAAATGTTATGTGTATATGTGTATGTATTATATTGATGATATAGTCACCCCATGGCTTTTATCAGGGTCTAGAAATGCGCTGTCCAGTACGGTAGCCACTAGCCACATTTGGCTATTGAGCACTTGAAATGTGGCTGGTCTGATTTGAGATGTGCTAGACGTGTAAGATAATACACAACAGACTTTGAAAGAATTAATACAAAAAGAGAATGTAAAATAATCTCAATAATTTTGATACTAAGTACATGTTAAAATGGTATTTTTATATATTTGGTTAAATAAAAGTATTAAAGTTAATTTCACCTGTTTCTTTTAACTTTTTTAATATGGCTACTAGAAAAATTTAAATTCCGTATGTGGCTTGCATTGTATTTCTATTGAACAGCGCTGGTCTAGAACCCCAAAGCCAGTGTAATTAGGAACATCAAGTTCCCATAATAATGTGGCCTTGGGCTACACTTTGTTGATACGGAGGAAAATTGGGAAAGGAAGAAAGAAGGAGGGGGGAAAGGGACAAGAAGAGAGAGTGGTGAGAAGGGGGCAGACGGGAAGAGGAAAGCATCTGAATGCCACTCTGGCTCTGAGGATGCATCTGTGGTAGTCTCAGAATGAAAAGAGGTGTTGGTTTGAAATATTTAGCGTTCCTATGATTCACTTGAGCTGGGCCTGGTCCCAGGTCATGGGTCCCAGTTTGTCCTGTAATGCCACCAAGGGTTGAATCTAAAAGGCCAGTTTAATATGCTGATGAAAAACTTTTCAGCTGGATCTGAATACAGTGAAGTGAAATCACAGCCCTTAAATATGGCAGCCACACGTCTGAAGATGGGCCTGAGAGAGCCCCACTTTTATGGCATTTTATAACCTTTACTAAAGGCCAGTCGTAGGCATGTAGCTCAGTATGGTTTAGTTTTTCTCTCTTTGTTAAGAATTCACATTTAAGTATGTTCACAAATCAAAAAGACCCTCTATCAAACTATCTTAGTTTGGAAAATCGACAAATGATACAAATGGTCCCTACCCCCAACTCCCCCAACCAAGTTTTTCAGCTTCAAGAGGGCAGTCCCTGAAAACCAAGTCTGGGAGCTCCATAAAGGTCCACCTCTCAAGAGAGCTAGGAGAGCCAGTCAAAAGCAACAGGCAACTAACTAGTTTACCAAAAACCATGCAATATAACTGAAAGAGAGGACAACTAAAAGCGGAGAATTTTTACCACTAAAGGGAAACAGCAAAGATGCAGAAACAGGGCGCCTGGGTGGCTCAGTGGTTAAGCGTCTGCCTTCGGCTCAGGTCATGATCTCTGCTCCGCAGGAAGCCTGCTTCTCCCTCTCCCACTCCCCCTGCTTGTGTTCCCTCTCTCACTGTCTCTGTCAAACAAATAAAATCTTTAAAAAAAAAAAAAAAAAAAGATGCAGAAACAACCCCATTCACCCACCTGGGCATCTGCCTGAGCACGCTTCAGTCCATACATGGTCACATCTACCTGCTACCAGCCCGGAGTCATACATGCATCTGCGCAGGCGCCACATCTGGGATGAGGGGCAGTCTAGGGCTTCTGGGCCTTCCTCTTCTTCCTACACCGCTCTGTTCCACACTCCACACTGCCTCCCACAGTACAGCACACCTTCTTGGCAAACAAACCCTACACAATTCACCAAAACTACCACATAGGAATCATAGAATCTATTACAGTTTTTCAAATGCCCAATATTATATAGCAGAAGCTTGACCTTTTAAACAAAAGAAACTAGCAGATACCTCACCTCAGTGTCATCTACTTCATTTTCTTCAGAAAGGTTGAGTGTTTCAATCAGTCCCTTGTGCTTTGCACCAGATTCTTTCAATTACACCTAAAATGAACAAAATACGTTCTTCAATCACAAAGTAACAACTGGTTTATGCAAAACTGCCCACCCCCCTCACAGGGTGCCACCACAGAGGATGACAAGGCAGGCTCAAGGCTTTGCCACCACACAGGTGTTCTCCTAGCCCCCAACAGAGGTAAACGAACAAGGAAGGTGGAGGTAAAACCTGGCCAATGAGAGTGCACACAAAACTAGGGGCTGGGTAGAAGGATGAGATCAGAGGAAGTGGGCCTTTAACCAATGCTTTTGTTTTCCTCCCCCAATATTCTTTACCAGGTCAAAGCAGGATAAAGGGCTGTCTTGAAGAAGAGTCACATAAAGGATGGAGGCCTGAAAGGGGCAATGAGGTCTAATCAGGAAAAGCATGAGGGGAGACAGGTGGTGGCTTGGGGAAGTTGTGCATGCACTCCACGTAGCTGGATTTCCTTCAATACCAAAGTGCTGATTTCAGGGACATCAAGATGGCAACATAGGTTATTCCTGACTTTGGGTCCTCTCACAAGACCAACTAGCAGCTATCCATAGACGAGACACCCCTGTGAAAGTCCCAGAGTGCACCCTTTTGGACCTGAGACAAAGGGCCAAATGAGAAGGGTAGGAGAAGTGATAAAACTGACCAAATCACCCCTCCCTCTTGCCAGCACAGAGCTGTGGTTTCTTCAGGTGGAAAAACATCCAGGTCCCCTAGCACTGGGGGATGCTTCCTAGAAGGTCCATCTGGATCTCAGCTCCCAGGGACCACTGGGAATCAGACAGAAGCGGGGCAGGACTTGAAATAACCAACACTCAAATGTTGTTGGAATGTGTTCCTGCTACAGCAGAGCATGAGCAAAGATCCTGGCCAGTGACTCCGCCCTTCTGCAGAGCTGAGCTGGCAGCCCTATGTGGCTAGGGAGCTCAGTTGGTGATTATGCCTGATTAGGGTCCCTGGTCAATGGACTGAAACCAGCTGTGGAGCCCATTCTACCGCCCCCACCCAGGCAAGAAAGCAAATCTGCAGCCCCACTCAACCACTGGTGGAGCCTCCCATCATCCGGACCATACAGGAAGCCTGACCAGAGAATCTGGGGAGCCATTAAGCCCATCCTCCAGCCCTACTTCGGCAGGAAGCCAAACCAGCAGCCCTGCCCAATTGTTGAGCACAGTCTCTGGTCCCACAGAACCAGGGAGCCCAAACAGTAACCCTAAGCAGCCTTGAAGCCTAGCCTACAGACCTGCCCAAATGCTAGACATAGCTTCTGGCTTGTCCAGACAGGGAGCCCAGACAGTGACTCCACCCAAACACAGAGCATAGTCCCTAGCCCCAACAAACTGCAGGATACAGCTGGAGGCCCGTCCCCACCAGAGAGCCTGGCCAGCCATGTTGCTCAACAGCAGAGCATAGCCAGTGGCTCCTTGGTCTCGAAGTGAAGCCTGCAGACCTGTCCAACTTCAAGGCACAGTCCTGAGGCCAGGTCCAATCATGAAGCCCTGCCTGTCGCCCCACCTGAACAGAGTCTAGTCAGCAGAACCATCTGGTCCAGGAGCACAGCCTGAGACCCCATCCAACCAGGAGCAATGGTGGAGACCCACCCATTGCCCTGCCCAATCATAGAGTCCAACCAGTAGCACTGCCCTTCCAGGGACCAACCCCTGACCAGAGGTAACTGCAAGGCCCATATAGAGGCCCCATGTGACCATGGAGCACAGCCAGCAGCTACACCCCGTCAGGGAGTCCACCCAGCAACCCTGCTTGAACACAGCCCAAGCAGCACACCCTGCTTGAACACAGGAGCCCAGCCAGGAGAGCCCCAACCTCCAACCCTGATCACACTGTGGCAGTGGCCCCACCCAACTAGAGACCCCGACAGCATGCCCTGCCCACCACAAATGCTACTAGATGACCCACCAAGTAACCCAAATTAAGCTGAATGGTGAAGGTCTTTTCCTACTAAAGCAAACCTGTAAATTCTGGAAAAAGAAATCACTTACATATGCAGATACCAACACAAGGAATTAAGCCTCATGAAGAATCAGGTAAACATGACACCACCAAAGGAAACTAATAAAGCTCCAGTAACAGATCCTAAAGAAATGGAGATCCATGAACTATGTGACCAGTAATTAAGAATAAATCTCTTAAAGAAGTTTAGTGAACTATAAGAACACACAAAATTAGAAGAAACTGCATGAACAAAATGAGAAATTCAACAAAGAAACAGAAACCACAAAGAAACACAACAGAAATCCTGGAGCTGAATACAATGACTGAACTGAAGAATTACATAGAAAGCTTCAACAGCTAAACTGACCAAGCAGAAGAAAGAATTAGTGAACTAGATGTTATTTGAAATTAGCATCATAAAAATATATGAATATATATTTATGAAAATACATGAAAAATATACCATTACCCACTGGTAATGGTAAATATACAGTTAAAGTCAGATCATCTAATATTGCAATGGTGTTGCATAATTCACTTACAACTCTACTTTAAAAGTTAAAACATACTAAAAATAACCATAAATAATTTGTTACTAGATACACAATATGAAAATATGCAAATTATAATATCAATAACCTAAAACCTGAGGAGGGAAGAAGTATAAATTTCTGTATGCTACCAAAGTTGTTAATAGTCTAAATAGCATGTTATAAATATATTCCATGTAAGCCTCAGGGTAACCACCTGAGGAAAACTAGTAGGTATGCAAAAGATTATGATAAAGGAGTGAAAGTATACCACCACGAAAAGGCATCAGATCATCACGGAAGATAAGAGAGGAAGCAAGGAATGCAGGATCTACAAAACAGTGTGAAAACAATTAACAAAATGGCAAGTGTAAGTTCTTACCCATCAATAATTACTTTAAACATAAATGGATTACATTCTCCAAAAGACACAGAATGGCTGAATGGATTAAAACAGAAAAAAAAAACAAAAACAAGATCCAACAATATGCTGCCTATAATACAGAGAATCACTTTAGCTTTAAAAGGATACACATGAACTGAGAGTGAAGGGATGAAGAAGATATTTCAAGCAAATGGTAACCAAAAAAAAGAGTAGCGATACTTGTATTAAACAAAATACTAAGAAAAAATGGTCAAAAAAAAAAAAAAAACTAAAGAAGGTTATTATATAATGCTGAAGGGATTGATTCATCAGGAAGATCTAGCAATTGTAAATATTTATGTACCCAACATTGAAGCACCTAAATATGTAAAGGAAATACTAACAGAACAAAAAGGAGAAATAAGCAGCAATGCATTAGTTGGGGACTCTAATATCCCACGATCAACAATGGATTATCCAGACAAAAAAATCAGTAAGGAACAGCAGATTTAAACATTATAGAGCAAATGGACTTCACAGGCAGACCTGACCAAATACCTACAGAATGGAACAACACAAATGGCCATCAACTGATGAACAGATAAACAAAATGTGCTCTATCTGTACAACAGAATATCATTGAACCATAAAAAGGAAAGGAACATGCTACAACAAAGATGAACCTTGAAAACGTTATGCTAAGTGAAAGGAGCCAGTCACCTAAATGTGCGACCTCAAAAATAAAAATCCTAGAAGAGCATAGGCAGTAATTTCTCTGACATCAGCCACACATCGTAGTAACATTTTTCTAGATCTGTCTCCTGAGGCAAGGGAAATAAAAGCAAAAATAAACTATTAGAACTACATCAAAATAGGGGTGGCTCAGTCGGTTAAGGGTCTGACTCTTGATTTTGGCTCAGGTCATGATCTCAGGGTCACGGGATCTAGCCCGGCCTCGGGTTCTGTCCTGGGCGTGGAGCCCACTCAGGAATGTCTCTCTTGGGTTCCCTCAGCCCCTCCCCCACTCGCATGTGCTCAAAAAAAAAAAAGGACTATATCAAAAGAAAAGCCTCCAGGGTGCGTGGGTGGTTCAGTTGGTTAAGAGACTGGGGTCAGGTCATGATCCTGGGGTCCTGGGATCAAGTCCCACATTGGGCTCCCCCTGCTCTGTGGGAAGCCTGCTTCTCCCTCTGCCTGCCACTCCCCCTGCTTGTGCTCTCTCTTGGTCAAATAAATCTTGAAAAAAAAAAAAAGCTTCTGCACAGCAAAGGAAATAATCAACAAAACTAAAAGGGAACCTACTAACTAGGAGAAGATATGTGCAAATGCCATCTCTGATAAAGGGTTAGTATACAAAATATATAAAGAACTTATACGGGGGTGCCTGGCTGGCTCAGTCGGTAGAGCCTGTGACTTTTGATCTTGGGGTTGTGAGTTCAAGCCCCATGTTGGGTTTACAGCTTACTTAAAAAAGTAAGTAAAAAAAAAAAAAGAACTGATACAACTCAACACCAAAAAAATAAATAATCCAATTAAAAATGGGTAGAAGACAGGGGTGCCTGGGTGGCTCAGTTGGTTAAGCATCTGACTTCAGCTCAGGTTCTGATCTCAGGGTCCTGGGACTGAACCCCATGTCGGGCTCTGCTCAGTGGGGAGTCTGCTTGTCCCTAACCCTCTGCCCCTCCCCCTGCTTGTGCGTGCTCTCTAATAAGTAAATAAAATCTTTTAAAAAATTTTTTTAAAAAATCGGCAGAAGACATGGACAGACATTTCTCCAAAGAAGACATAGAGATGGCCAACACAAGTGAAAAGATGCTCACCATCACTCATCATCAGGGAAACAAATCAAAACTACAATGAAATATCACCTCACACCTATCAAAATGGCTAAAATCAAAAACACAAGAAACAACAATTGTTGGTGAGGATGTGGAGAAATGGGAACCCTCTTGCACTGTTGGTGGGAATGCAAGCTGGTGCAGCTACTGGAAGACAGTATGGAGGTTCCTCAACAAATTAAAAATAGAACCACCCTAGGATCCAGTAATTACACTACTGGCTATTTACTCCCCAAAAAAGAAAACCCTAATTCACAAGGATATATGCACCCCTATGGTTATTGCAACGTTATTTACAACAGCCAAACTACGGAAGCAGCCCAAGTGCCCACTGACAGATGAATAGATAAAAAAGATGTTGCACATATAGAATGGAGTATTATTCAGCCATAAAAAAAGAATGAATTTTTGCCATTTTCACTGACACGGACAGAGCTAGAGAATATAATGCTAAGCTACATAAATCAGAGAAAGACAAATACCATATGATCTCACTTATATGTGGAATTTAAGAAACAAATGAACAAAGGGAAAAAAAGGAGACAAGCCAAAAAAAAAAAAAAGAAGACTCTTGGGGCGCCTGGGTGGCTCAGTCGTTAAGTGTCTGCCTTCGGCTCAGGTCATGATCCCAGGGTCCTGGGATCGACTCCCACATCGGGCTCCCTGCTCCATGGGAAGTCTGCTTCTCCCTCTCCCACTCCCCCTGCTGTGTACCCTCTCTCACTTTTTCTCTCTCTCTCTAAAATAAATAAATAAAATCTTAAAAAAAAAAAAAAAAGAAGAAGACTCTTTTAACTCCACAGAGAACAAACTAATGGTTACCATAAGGGAGGTGGGTGGGAGGGATGGATGAGACAGGTGAAGGGGATTAAAGAGTACTCTTATCACGATGCGCACCGGGTGACGTATGGAATTGCTGAATCACAGTATTGTACACCTGAAACTAACTTAACACGTTAACTAGACTGGGATTAAAATTTTTAAAAAAGGAGCCAGTCACAAAAGACCACATACTCTATAATTCCATTCATATGAAATGTCCAGAATAGGCAAATCCATCTATAGAGATAGATGATAGAAACAGGCAAATCCATCCACAGAAACAGAAAACAGATTAGTGGTTGCCAAAGACTATGGAGTGACTACTACTGGGCACAGGGTTTTGCTAGTGGTGAAAATGTTCTGAAACTGACTGTAGTGGCAGCTGCACAACTCTGTGAGCGTGCTGAAAACCACTGAATTGTATACTTTAAACGGGTGAGCTGTATGGTATGTGATTTAGATCTCAATAAAGCTGATATTAAAAAAAAAAAATCATCCCTGCCCTGATGAATGGGGGTGGGAGGGGAACCAGAATAATAACATATTTAAGTAACCATATAAAGATACCAAATATCAGTGCTTTGGGGGAAAATAAAGCAGGAAGAGAGACAGTTCAAAGAAGGGAGCTGCAATTTTTATAGGATAGAGATAGGTGGCTTCACTCAGGACAAAGACCAGAAGGACCCAGAAGAGTCAGCAGGCAGCTGTCTAGGGGAAGAGTGCTCTGGCAGCTCCAGAAAACTCTAAGGCTCACAAGTGCCTGGCAGACAAGAGTGCTGCTAAAATCGAAGGGCTCTAAGCAATGAGTGCTGGGAGAAAGGGAAGCCCCCCAGCTTGCTGGACAAGGCAATGTACATGACAGAAGGCTGTCTGGAACTACACACACCAAATCCAGGGGCTAATGAGTGCTAGGCCCCATCAGGAGTTCTAAAAATATCTACTGAAGGAATGAATACTACACCAACTGACTCTGCCCCAAGGCTGCCTCCAGCTCCTAGCTGTGCCCTGAGCCCCCCGTTACCTATCCAGCTCAGCCTGATGTTCCACTCATAGAAGAAAATCAGCTTTCCTTTGCAGCTGCTGCAAGAAGCCTGACCTTCCACCTGCTTCAGTTCACTGATCTCAACGTGGCCAGCCTCGTTCTCCACGACGATGCCCACCAGGAGGTCACGGAGCTTCCCTTGGGACCAGCGGGTGGCATCCCGCTTTGTCCTGCCAGGGACCAGAAGGGCAGAGCCGTGAGTGGAGGCCCCAACTGGTACCCGCATGCCCAGGCTGGGGCGTGGGGGTAATGCCGGGACCAGCCCAGATCAGCCCACTGCCTCTCAGGCAGCCCTGAGAGCCCTGCCACCGTCAAAGTTCAACCAGATTTCTACCAGGTATCTTTTAATATTCCTACTCAGTTCCTTAAGATATTATTATGCACTATGTAGTGTTTTGTCTTAAAAACACTGGCTTATTCTGGGGGAAAGGGGGCCTAGCAATCCCACCCACTGGAAAATGGATGGGCAAAGCCTGGGCCTTACAAAAAGGTAGTTTTAATTTTAATCAAAACAAGACACATTATCAAGGGCATATATTATCTCATGGAATCTTCCCAAATAAATGTTCCCATTTTAGCGAGTGGAAATGAGGTGAGAGAAGCCCCTGATGTGTCCACGGTGACAATGCCGGGAAAGGAGAGGCCAGGGCTCCCTCAACAAGCCGCTCCCAGGCTGATGGCTTTACTCTGCCCCGGACCTGCCCCAACTTCGGCTTGACGGCCTTGAGGTACCACAGTGTACCCTCAGTGATGCTGCATCACTTCCTGAAACTGTGCGGGAGCGAGGGAGGCAGAAATAGCCCACGTTCCAGATGCCGTACAAAAAGGATGTGCAACGGTTCAAACTCCTAGAAAGAAGGCAGGGCTCACCCGAGGCCCATCGTGTTGGATGTACAGCTGAGATCCAAATTCACTACATACAGACCGACACACACACACACACACACACACACTACTAGCTCCTTTTAACTTCCAGAAACATCAAGGGGCGGGGGGGAAGCTCTTAAGGTCACAGACTGTCAAAGTTGAAGAGGCCAGGCAGATATCATTCATGGGGCCCAGACCAACTTTCAAAAGGAGGAAACTGAAGTCCCACAGCCAATGCAGATAAGCCCCCCCCGCCCCATTCCCGGTCTGCAGACTCCGCTGAGGCTAATCACAGCCGCTCTTTGAGCCCCTGGTGGAGGAGGGAATCCTCTGCACCTGTGCGGGCCCCGCCCCACAGAGGGAGCGGGAGCGCCGCGGTCCGGGAGGCGCTGGAGAGGCCGGGCCACCGCACCCCGCAGCGCACTGGGAGCCGTCTGCTCGCAGAGGGGCCCCACCGTCACGCCCGCCGCTCGGGAGGGAGGAGACCCGGAAGCCCCGGCCCCCGCCCGGCCGCACCAGTGCCAGTTGTTCACGTTGGTCCCGTCCTCCCGGTCCTCCACGATCCAGCGCAGATCCCCCTGGCCCCACTTGGCCATGTCTGCGCTGGCGGCGCGGCCTCGGCGGACGGCAAGGAAGGGCCGCGGCGCGGGCTGCCTTGCGGCTCCGTAGCGACGTTTCCGGCCTCCGAGCCTGGAATCGCAGCGTTCGCGGCACCCAGAAAGTGCCAGAAAACCCCGCCCCCCGCGCCGCCCTGCCCCGCTGCGGGGCGCGGAGCGAGCGGGAGCCGGGCCAGGGCTCCGAGAGGCAGGGTCGCGGGGGGAGGGGGCCGGAGAGGCCGGGAGGCCGCCAATGTCGGCGCGGGGGGCGGGGGATCCGGGAGGCGGGGCTGACGGGGGCAAAGGCGTCCGAGACGCGCGGCTGGGGAGGGGCGCAATCCGGGAGCCCGGGCCTGCGGCGGGACTCGCAAGTACAGGGGTCACGAAGGGGGAACCTCGGCCGCCTGCGAAAGACGCGGACGCCGTTTAAGGATTCATTATTCTCATTGCAGTGGCCACTTTCAGTGCTAGCCAGCAGAGCAGTGAGTAAGCGACACCTGAGGACGGTATTGGGGATGTAGCTGGCAGGCTATCAGCGGCCGCGCTAACTGTGCTCGGCGAACCTGGCGCTGGAGCATGCGCCGCAAGCACTGGATCGCGCTGTTTGCGCTCCCGGGTCCGAGCGCGCCCACGGTGCTCTGCGGTCTGCGCTGTACGCGCTCTCTTCACACCGTACTCATATTCCGTTCCTGCAGAGTTGGTTCACGCTGGTTCTCACGCCTTTCCAGCACCTGTGCAAGTAGCACGAGCTACAAAGTTCTGAGTTACTTCAGGGAGGTTTACATTTTATTCACGTAATAATCCTTCATAGATGACCAAAGAATGTGATTGCAAGTGCATATTATTGCAGCTTAACGCAATTTTTTAATCATTAAGCGGATGCTGATGTTTCCTTTCACGAATTTTCACCGTCCTGCAAAAACTGCACCAACTATAGGGGAAATGATGGAGGTGTCTATGAATATTTATTTAGCAGGGAAAACGGATAATGACAATGAATTGTGGAAGTACCTGACTTCCCTTCCCCTGTGGTGACCTGTCCTTTGCCTGTGGGCTGTGCTCATCGAATTCACTGGTGGAAAACATTTCCTCCATTTGCTTATTGGAGCTACTACATTCCAACATCATCTTCCAAAAAGCCGCTTTTATGTAGTATGTAGTGTTTGATCCCCCCCCCAATTTTTTTTTTTTTGATTTCACCTTTCAGACCCTTACTTCACCAAAGGCATGGACACAAACACAAGGTATCAAATAGAAAAGAACAGGAATGGCGGTAGTAAATGGGCATCATTTTCTTGTGGATTCACTGTTCCATCTTTTATCCAATTCATAGAGGGGTGCCTGGCTGGCTCAGTCAGTAGAGCATGTCACTCTTGATCTCAGGGTCCTGTGCTTGAGCCCCACATTGGGGGTAGAGATTGCATACAGAGTATTACTAATAGAACATTACATGGTAAGATTTAGATATATATAAGTGTAACCTGGGGGAAAATAAGACATCAGAAAATATACAAAGGCAGAAGCTATAATCACTAAAATTTTCTGTGAACAAAAATATTTTGTAATATTTACACAAAAAATTTATCCTAATGGAAATAATCTTATTACAGTGCAAATGGAAAAGGCATTCTATGTAGATAATTGGTCAAGAATTAAATTGGCCTAAAAGAAATTGCTCCAAGAAGTAATTTCACAAAGAAAATCTTCAGAATTAATGTAATTATTATTAAAATATTTGAGCAGGGAGCCTGATGCGGGGCTCAATCCCAGAACCCCGGGGTCATGACCTGAGCTGAGGGCAGACGCTTAACAGACTGAGCCACTCAGGTGCCCATTGGAAAAGTCATTCTTAAGAAACTTTGAACAATGGACAGGCGTGGATAAAAACTGGGAGGAGGGAGATTTTTCAAGGTGGAAAGGAGGCCACAGATAGGTATTTGGAAGTGGAATCGATGAGCAGGAGGGATATTGGGAGTGTAGCAGGGGAAGTGTTTTTCAGTGGCTGGGACTTTCAGCTTGGTTAGTCAACATCACCCTGAAAACCTAGAATGAAAAGGGGCTAGGAGAGGGGTTTAGGTTATGACTCTGTAGATCAGCATTCAAGGGACAGGCAGAAGGCATTTCATCATGGAAGCCAAGGCCCATAATAGAGGCAGTGGCTGGCAGTGTTAGATATTGAAAAGTGCAGGTAGGATAAGAAGTTGTTCTCTGTATTTGACAAGAGGGTCCATGGGCCCTTTTCAGAGAGCAGTTTCAGTGAATGATGGGGGCAGAAGCCAGGTCACTGTTGACAGAGGAGTGAATGGGTGGTGAGAAGGCAGAGGGCGTCCTCTCAAAATGTCTGACAAGGGTAAGTAAGAGAAATGGAGAGTAGTTAGATGGGGATATGGGATGAAGGGAGGTTTTGCCTTTTCCCTTTAAATGTTTTCATATGCTGATGGGGACTGGCTGGTGAGAAAAAGGTCTCTGTCCAGGTCATGGGGCAAAGCCCAGAAGCAAGGGGAGGAGAGAAGTCCAAAGGTAGGTGAGGTCAACCTGGGATTGGAAGACCCAGGAGAAAGGATTAGGATGGATGTTTCTACACCAAGCTTGGTTTTGATCGGTTTGATTTCCGGATGGGGAGAGAACAACTTTAGGTGGCATTTTGCCTGCAGCGAAGTGAGGGTGATAACCCTGACAGGTTTTGGGGGAAGAAATGAGAAATGTTCTAAGTATGTCTTTCTTGGGGCGCCTGGGTGGATCAGTCGTTAAGCGTCTGCCTTCGGCTCAGGTCGTGATCCCAGGGTCCTGGGATCGAGCCCCACGTCTGGCTCCCTGCTCCGCGGGAAGCCTGCTTCTCCCTCTCCCACTCCCCCTGCTTGTGTTCCCTCTCTCGCTGTGTCTCTCTCTGTCAAATAAAAAAAAAAAATCTTAAAAAAAAAAAAAAAAAAAGACTATGTCTTTCTTCCCATCAGCACTGGGGTAAGCCCAAATCATTGCCAACTTTTCTAAACACAACTAACTCCACCACACTTTCTTTGTGTCTAGAGAAAGGAGCTGAAAAGTACATATCCAGGATTGACTCTTACTAGCAATGCTTTAGAGAGTCAGGATTTTGATTCAAGCTTCACATCACAGTAGATCTACAAGCTGCTAAGATTCTGTTGTTGAGAAAGTCATTGTTCTCATTTATTTTTATAATTCTAATGCCTATGCTGCAGTTTGATTTAATTCCATTAACATTTATGGAGCTACCAATGTGCACATCTGCCCAAAGCACATGATAGCCCGTAGCGCACTGTGTACAGCCATTTGCTCTCAGGCTGTATTATTTTCACTGGCCTGCTCGCCTTGAAGAAGAAGCTCTTCTTTCTCTTTAGCCCAAGGCCAGAGCTGTGCCAGCACACAGTGCAATGCCAGGACTTGTACGGATGACTGAATGAAAAAAAGGAAAAAATGCTTCTCAAACCTGAATGTTCCAACCTATTAATAGGCTATAAAATCAATTCAGTAGGCATCTGCTGATTGAAATGAAATAGAGTTTAAATTATCAGAGTGATTACATATGATAAAAGCAAATATTTCTTAAATCATTACGTGTGTCTGTGTGTGTGTGTTATGTAAGGGTTACACTAAGGGTTTTTCTTAGTTGGAAGCCACAGCTGTAGCAAACCCAAAGACAAATGCAATAGCTTACAAACTACCTGTTGATCTGTTTTGCACATTGGAGAATCCCCAGTGTCTAGCACATAACAATTCTCAATAAATATTACGTAAATGAATAAACTCATAGAAGTAAAAGAAGACATTGGTTGAAGGGATATGAAAGGAGAGAACTGGGCCTTTGAAGGATGGATGGAATTTTAACAGGTAAAGATAGGAGACCTCGGTCCAAACCAAAGAAGAAAAGCACTAACAAAGATGTGAAAGGGAAGTCTTTGGGGGAAGCAGAATGAATGGGCACCAACATGGTGGGCAATCAGAGTATCATGAGCTGCCGTCCTCTTTCCCTCCCAGCGTGGCGGCAGAGGCGGCTTGTGCAGCCTAGCCCAAGGTTAAGGTTGAGACCCTCGCGACAAGCTAGAAGACCTGAAGGGGGTGCTATCGAGCTGCTCATCGGCTAAGTGACAGGCAGCGCGGCTTCCAAGCTCTCCCAGATTTGAGAGCACATTCATCTCCGGTGTTCCCACCGTCATTAACCAGATCAGAAAGACAAGCTCAGCAAATTCTACAAGGGTGAGAGGTGGGAGGCCCTGCACCTGCGGCCCAAGAAGACACGTGCCACGAGCCTCGCGAACAAGCGCCGAGAGAACTGGAAGGCCAAGCAGCAGCGGCGGAAGGAGCAGCTGTACCCACCGAGGGAGTACGCGGGCGCGCGCGCGCGCGGTCAAGGCCTGAACATTGGTGTCAATGAAACACGATGGGGGAGGGGGGTGGGACTATATAAGGAGGACACTTTGAAAGCCAGTGTGAAGAAGTCTTTTGACACCAAGAGTGAAGTAAATGTGTGCTGGGTTCTTCCCCTAAATTGGTGTCAGACCATGCTGGCAGGCTCGGAAGCCCAAGGCTTGGATCCAGGTCTTGGATCTGCCATTTAAATTCCTAACCTCTTTGTACTTCACCATCTAAAATGGGGATAGTGTTAACAGCTAACCATACAATTAGATTCAACTGCTAGTAACAAAGTAGCAATAACAAAATAATACTAAAGAAGATATTTTACTTTCCTCTCGTGTAAAAACAGGTGGTCCATGGCAAGTATGGAAAATATGCAATCAGTAGAGCCCTGAGTTTACATCAACGGTACTCCACACATGGCTTCCACATCAGGGTTCAAGATGGCCACTCAATACATCTACATTCCAACTAGCAGGAAGAAGAAAGAACGGAAGTATATTCTCAACCTTTAAGACACACCCCAAAACTTCTGCTCAGACACTATTGGCTAGAACATGTCACGTGGAAATTCCAAGTGGCAAGGAAACCGGGGAAGTATGGTCCTTATTCTAGTCAGCCACATG